CTGCGGGCGGCTCATTGCGAGGGGGCAGCTCCAGAGGGGGCGTAGTGTGCGTGTGTGTATATGTATATGTATATGTATATGTATATGTATATGTATATGTATATGTATATGTATATGTACATGTATATGTATATGTATATGTACATGTACATGTATATGTATATGTATATGTATATGTATATGTATGTGTATATATATATAGATACATATACATATTCATATACTTTTATAGGGCGGGGGACCCCGGAAAGAACGCCCCCCCCTCCCGACCCCCCCAAACGAATTTCGCATCCTCGGGCCTGTCTTGTGCCTCTTTGCGGCCATCCCGGGGTCATCTTGACGCCCCCCCGAGCCAACCGGAAACGAAAAAGCGAAAAGGCCGAACACATTGCTCTTCTACAGGATTTTCTCTGATTTTTCGACTCTCCGGGCCCTGTTGGGCTAGCCTTGGGGCCTCTTTGGGGCTCGTCTGGGGACTCATTTGGAGCCGTCCTGGGGCTATCTCGACGCCTCAAGAGCCGATCGTAAGCGAAATGCGAGACGGCCAAAAACACTGATTTCCCAATGGTTTTCATTGATTTTCAACTCTTTGGGTCTACTTCGGCCAGCCTTGGGCCTCTTTGGGGCTCGTCTGGGGACTCATTTGGAGCCGTCCTGGGGCTATCTTGACGCCTCCCGAGCCGATCGTAAGCGAAAAAGCGAGAAGGCCAAAAACACTGATTCCCCAATGGGCCTTAATTGACGTTCAATTCTTCGAACCTTTTTCGGCCAACCCTGGGCCTCTGTGGGCCTCGGTTTGCGCCTCTCGGGAGCCATCCTGGGGCTATCTTGACGCCCCCTGAGCCGATCGGAAGCGAAAAGGCGAGAAGGCCGAAAACACTGTTTACTCCATAATTTGTATGTTGATTTTCAAACCTCCAGGCCCTTTAGGGCCAGTCCGTGCCCTCTTTGGGCTCGTCTGGGGGCTCATTTGGAGCCGTCATGGGTCTACCTTGATGCCTCAAGAGCCACTCGGAAGCGACAGAGAGAGAAGGCCAAAACACAGATTTCCCAATGGGATTGCACACATTTGTCATTATTTGGGCCCTCTGCGGCCAGCCTTGGGACTCTGTAGACCTCGGCTTGCGCCTCTCTGCGGCCATCCTGGGGTCATCTCTTGACGCCTCTCGAGCCAACCTGTTCTCTGTAGGAGGTAGAGGAAGAGGAGGAGGGGGTAGAGGAGAAGGAGGAGACGGAGGAGGCGGAGGAGGAGGTGAAGGAGGAGGAACTAGAAGAAGAGGGGGTGAGAGGAGAAAGAGGACGAAGATGAGGCGAGAGAAAGAGGTGGAAAAGGAGGAGGAGGAGGAGGAGGAGGAGAGAGGAGGAGGAGGAGAGAGAGGAGGAGGATGCCCTGCTCCATGCGCGCCTAACCACTCGCCTGAGACATATTCGCGCCTCTGGGCTCCGAAACGCCCTGAGCTGGCCTCAGCTGGTGCTGTCCGGTCGCTCCCGCTTAGGAACTCCTCACCCATTCCGACCTGGCGGTGGCCCGCCCCATGTCCACGCGCACGCACGCCGCCTGCATTCGAAACTACAAGGAACAAGGTGCATGGCGCGAAGCGCCAATGCAGTGTTGTATGTATATATACACACACTAGAACCATCGCGTGCGCTTCGCGCGCGCTCAGGTTCTAGCAGGCCCCAGGCCTTGACGAATTCACTGCTCCACTGAAGTAGTGGACCACAGTCCACGCATGCCAATCTGCATTCCGAAAGGCCTTCGAGGAAAATGGTTGTGTAGGGGGGCGGAGGCCGTATGAATCGGGTTCCCAGAAGGCCTTCTGGGAGCATGGGTTTGGGGCGTCTTGGGGAGCCTGTTGCGTGCCGTCGTCGTCGTCGTCGTCGTCGTCGTCGTCGTCGTCGTCGTCGTCGTAATGTCGTCGTCGCCTATTGGGGCGCGCCGTCGTCGTCGTCGTCGTCGTCGTCGTCGTCGTCGTCGTCGTCGTCGTCGTCGTCGTCGTCGTCGTCGTCGTCGTCGTCGTCGTAATGTCGTCGTCGTCTTCGTCGTTTCGTCGTCGTCGTCGTCGTCGTCGATTCAAGAGGGCACTTGGGGCAACTTTGTGCGAAACGATCTGCGGAGGGCCGTGAGAAGGCGATCAGTCATGTTCCCAAGCAACTTCCCAGACAGCTCTCCTGTAGCATGATGGTACTTCGAAGCCTCCGGAGACTCGCGGGCCCATGATGAACCATGTCCCCGGAAGGCTTTCTGGGGACATGGCTTGTTGGGGTGTGTTGGGGGGTCTCTTGGGCGTTCCCTGGGAGCCCCATGGGGGCCTCGGGGAACTCTCGGGCCCATGAAGAACCATGTCCCCAGAAGGCTTTCTGGGGACATGGTTTGTTGGGGTGTGTTGGGGGGCCTCTTGGGCGTTCCCTGGGGGTCCCATTGGGGGTCTCTTGGGGCTTCCTGTGGGCCTCTTGAGCGCCTCACGGGGCTTCGTGGGAGCCTCTTGGTGGCCTCCAGGGGCCTACAGGCGGCCTCTAGGGCCAGAGACCTCGAAATATCGGTTGGCGGCCCCCCTCTGGGCCCTCTCTTGGGGAGCTCTTGGGGCACAGTTGGGTTGTCTGGGGAGCATCCTGGGCCGTCTTGGGGCCCTCTTCGGGGCCTCCTGGCCCGTCTTGGAGCGATCTGAAGGGCCTCCGAGCGAGGCCGTGAGGGAACGCTGGGAAGCGGGGGAAGCGAGAACGCCTAAATCCTTCAAAAAGCATCGGAAAATTAGTGAATCTTGCCTCCCAGGGCCCTCTTGGGGAGCCTCTTGAGTCTGTCCTGGAGCGTGTTGGAGTCCTCGTCGGCCGTGTTGAGGGCAGCTTGGGCGTCTTCGGGGTCTCGGGACCGTCTAAGGCCCTCTCGGGACCTCCATTAGCCTGTCGCGGCTTGCTTCGGGGCGGGCCCGGGCCGCCTCGGGACCCCTCTGGGCCTTCTCTTGGCGCGCTCTTGGGGTACACATCCTGGGCCGTCTTGGGGCCCTCGTCGGGGGCCTCGTGGGCCTTCTTGGAGCGATCTGAAAAGCCTCCGAGGCCGTGAGGGAGCGCTGGAAAGCGGGAAAAGCGAGACCGCCAGAATCCAAAACACCCGGAAAACGAGTGAATCTTGCCTTCCAGGGCCCTCTTGGGGAGCCTCTTGAGTCCGTCCTGGAGCGTGTTGGAGTCCTCGTCGGCTGTCTTGAGGGCATCTTGGGCGTCTTCGGGGCCTCGTGGGACCGTCTTGGGTCCTCTCAGGACCCTCTTAGCCTGTCGTGGCCTGCTTCGGGGCGGGCTCGGGCCGCCTCGGGAGCTCTGGACCCCCCCCCCGCAACCCCTGGTGGGCACCGATGGGGGGAACAAGCAGCGGCCCGCCCCCCCCCTAGGGCCTACTCCGAGATAGAGAATCATGTTCCCGGGAAGCTTTCCGAGACCATGATTTGTTCGGCTCTCTAAGAGGGGGGCCTCTGGGGCTTACCGAGGGGCGCCTTTTGGCCTTGTCGGCAAGCCTATTGGAAACATGGTTGGGGCGGTGGGCGGAAGCCCACGGAATCATGTTCCCGGAAAGTTATCTGGGAAATACGATTTACCGAAGTGTCTTGGGGGCCCGCAGGGGGCTTTCCTAGGGGTCCCTTGGGGGACCATTGGGGCTTCCGGGGGGCCTCTTGGCCTCCGGGGGCGTCCTAGGAGCCTCTCAGGCCGGAGACCTCGAAATATCGCGCTCTTCGGGCCCTCTTGGGTCGCTCTTGGGGCTCTCTCGGGGCGCTCTCGGGGCCCTCTTGACTTATCTGGGGAGCCTCCTGGGCCGTCTTTGGGCTTTCTTGGGAGCCTCTTCGGCCGTCTTGGAGCGATCTGAAGGTCCTCTGACGCGGTCCGGGACCGTGGGGAGGCGGAACATGGGAGAGCGCAAGAATGCTTCAAAAACCATAGGAAAGTGTATGATTTTCGGCTTTGGAGGCGCTCTTAGGGCGTTTTGGCGGCGTCGTCGGCCGTCCTGCGGCCATCTGCGGCGTGTCCGGGGCCTCTGGGGGCTGTCTTTGGGCGTCCTGGGAACCCGGGAATCATGTTCCCAGAAAGGCTTCGAGGAACATGATTTCGAACGATGCCTCCTGGAGGCCGTCTTGGGAGCCTCCTGGGCCGGCTTCGGGGCACGACCCTTTTGGGCCGTCTTGGGTCCTCTTGGGTCTCTCTTGGGCTGTCTTGGGGCTCCTCAAACGCGTCTGGGGTACTAAAAAGACGAAGCAAGGGAGTATGCTGAAAATGTACGTTTTACTGCGGGGACGGCCTGATTTTTGCCTCTTGAAGGCCCTCTTGGGGCCCTCTTCGGCCATCTTCAAGCCATCTCGGGCCCTCTGGGGCCTCGCTGAGGCTGTCCTGGGGCCCTCTAGGGGGCCCTGGGAACCCGGAAATCATGTTCCCGGCGAGGCTTCCAGGAACATGATTTCGAACGGGGCCCTCTTGGGCCTCCCCGAGGCCGTCTTGGGGGCTTCCTGGGCCGGCTTCGGGGCCTCTTGGGCCGTCTTGGGGGGTTTCGTCAGCCCCACAAGCCGACCCTTTTGGGCCGTCTGGGGCCCTCTTGGGTCTCTCTTGGGCTGTGTTGGGGCTCCGCGGGGGCGTCTGGGGCACTGTGAAGACGAAGCCAGCGAGTATGCCGAAAATGCACGTTTTATGGATGGGAATGGCCTCTTGAAGGCCCTTTTGAGGCCCTCTTCGGACATCTTCAAGCCATCTCGGGCCCTCTTGGGGCGCTCGTCTTGGGCGACTTCGGAGCCTTGTGAAGCTTTCTTGACCACCTGTGCGGCCCGCGTGGCCTGTCGTGGGCAATTTGGAAGCGGCCAGGGGCAGCCCCGGGGGGTCTGTGACCCCCAAAAGGTTCGGGGGCGGCCATGGGGGATGACGGCACCGATTTTGCCCCCCCCCCCCCCCCCCCCCCCCCCCCGGCCTACTCACTCATATGTATGTATGTATGTATGTATGTATGTATGTATGTATGTATGTATGTA